ATCACTGTTGTTCACAGATAATCCCTGAACTCTTGCTCTTACCAACAAGTACAGATGTCAGTGCAGGACACTGGCCTGCTGACTGGAGGAGCTCCCCACTGGGGGCCTGGCCCAGGCGCCCCTTCCAAGTCATGTTGTTGGCAGATGCCTGCGCTGCTTTCCCTGTGGCTGATTGTTGGTGAGTCAGTAAATACAAATCTCAATCAGAGGTGCAGTAACATAAAAAATGAAACATTTGCAAGTTTAAGCCACCCCTATCGATCATATACATTATGATATAAAAATCTGTCTGTGATAAAACTGACAGATGAAGCCATCTAGGTTAATGACATCAAATTTTGTAACATACTTATGAATCTAAAACTACTCTCCAAATGCTATCATGTTCACAATGAAGGCGAAGAACATTTTCAATTAGAACAATAATTAGAGATAACAGAACTAGGAACAAGAGGCTAATTCTCCAAACTTTTTGTTCATCTTCCTTTTAATTATATAAGCCATGTAAACGAGCAAACCAGGTGAACAAGAACTGTTATCCGGAAATGAAGGAAATGATGCTGAATTAACTGAGTTCTGGGCTACAGCCGCCCTCCTCACCTCTCTACCTCTCCACTCCACAGACAGTGCAAAGTTCTCTCCGGCTTCACCACTGCCACTTGAACCACGTGACCCCCTCTCTCCCTTCCCACCTCACCTTGGACCCCTTTCCAAATCTACTGTCCAGACTGCAGCCAGGATGACTTTTTCATTACACATATCTGATCATTTTACTTCTCTGCTTAAAACTCATCCATGGTTTGTCTGTTGAAGTCCAGAATCCCTCACATAATCTACCGGGCCCCGATTTGTCTTTGCAGCTAAGTGGCCACACTGGCATATGCCCTTTACTCAGGTGTCCTACTAACAGTGCCTTGACTACTGACAGTGCCTTGGTTTGGAAAACACAGCACCTGGCCACTCTCCTCACTGCCCTCTCCTCTTCCTGCTCACTAAGCTCACTGCCCCGGGGCGTCCGCCTCTGAGCCTGTCCAATCCTACCCATTCTACCCTCTTATGCCCAATGGGCTCTGCCTTACAAGCACTTACTACACCTAAAATTCACTAATTACTTGTGCAATTACTTTTTAATGCCCATACTCCCACCAGGCTCTGAAGTCCAAGAGAACAGCAAGTTATCTGGCTGATGTGTTCACTGCCCTATCCTGCAGCTCGGCATGGTTCCTGAGACAGAGCGAGGGGGCGGCACATAAGGTACTGACCGAGACATCCCAGGGAGTAAGGGTCACAGCAGTGTGGAAGGAGAGTGTGCTTTGGCTAAAGAGGAACAATATCTATGATAAAAAGCATCTTAAAATACCCCAAAATTAGCTAGGGAATGTGGAGCAATCAGGTAGCAAACGAGAAAGAACATATATATGAGATCTTAACTATTTTGACTGTTCAGAGGACTTGTCAGGAGGGGTATGCATGCAAACGTTTATTCAGTGTCTTTAATAAGATGGAAGGAAAAAATAACATTTCTTGGGACACTGGGTTTGGAAGATGAAGGAGGAAGAGCTGGGGTAACTCTGATGCTTCTCCCTTAAACAGCCGAGTCACACCACTAAAGGAGAGGAGGGCAGGAGGGGATATGGTGGGGTGGAGGGGGATCCCATGCTTGGTGCTGTGTGTAAAAGCTTGGGAAGCCACAGGACAGCCACTAAATCAAACACAGATTCTGGACGTCAGTACCAGCCACAAAACCGAAGGCCTCTGAGGCACATGCGTTGTTCTGATGAACCCCAAATGCTAAGTGTCATATAAATGTCTGTGCAGGCAGGTAAATCTTTATAGGGTGACACCAAGTAACATTTGTTCAGAGAGCTATTAAACAGCTGCAACTCAATGAAAGATACATCCTGTTCCCTTGCTATTTAGGTTGTTAGAATGCTCCAGTGTGCTCTCTCCTTCAATGGAAAGTGTCAATCTCTAGAGTATAGTTCACTGTGAACAATTAAAGCCAGAGCCCCCCCAAAACCTCAGAAAGCATGTGAAGAAATAATTCGATCCATTAATTCATCTGGCAAATATTTATGGAGTTTCTGCTACGTGGCAGGCACCGGAATAGACACTCAGGAAATACATAGGGACAAGACCACATTGACCCAGTCACTCTGCCCGGCCGAAAAGGAAAGCAGTCGAATCCCAAGAAGTTAGAGGGAAACACAGGCTTCTGAGAGGGGAGTGTGCATGTGACAGGGCAACCTGACTGAACCTGGGAGGTGAGGAAGCCGCATGTGCACCAAGTACCCTGCAGAGGTAAGATGGGATGAGCTGGGAAGGGGCCTGGCCTGCTGGTGGCGTGGAACGTGGGCTGGACGCAGGCAAGCACGAAGCCTCGAGTTGCAGTACTGTAGACATGAGAGGGGTGGTCCGAACTGTGGAGGGCAGAAGTTGGGATGGAGAGAAGGGGATGGAATTGAGAACATTCTGAAGGTAGGATGGCCAGTACTTGGTGACTCAGTGCTCACTGTGAGCGGCTGAGCAGAAGGTGGTGCTGCTCCCTAAGAGAAGAACTCCGGAAGAAGATGGTTTCCTCTGGACACACTGGGTGGTTTCAGGGTGCCCATTAGCCACCCCAGCAGGGATGTCTAGGAAGCAACTGGATATGAAAGCTGATGCTCAAAAGTGAGAGCTGGACAGAGAAAAAGCTTTTGGAGCTACTAACACCACCTTTTGTGAATTCTGCTGTGGAGGGCTCCGGGGTGGCTCTGGGTCAACAGGCTCACTGGGATGTTCAACCTGTCGCAAACTGCAGTACACCAGGCCCTGCTCCTGGTGCTGGGCGTAGAGTGATAAACCCAGCTGCCCCCAAGGAGCTTTCATTCTAGTAGGGCCAGCAGATAAGAAACAGAAACTTCTGGAAGGGCAGCAAGTGAGGACTAGCTCAGTCAGGCTCCCTTGTCAGTCTCCAAGGCCAATGGGACTCTGGCGCTGGCTCTTCCTGGGGCAGCTGGTTGGCTATCCCTGGGCTCCTGGAGCTGGGCCACATGGCACAGAGCTAAAATACCGATCTCGTTATTCCTAAGAGCTTCCTGTAGTTTTCTGCAACAGCGTGAGTTGATGTTTCTTGAAACTAGAAGACCTGGTGCACCCCCATCATTGTTTCTGGGTTCACCCTGACTAAGGCCTGAGGCACGTAGGCAGTTGAGGCACCTGACTCCCCACAACTGTGTGACTGTCGGTAAATGCAACACTATTGACCGGGCCCTTCCTGTAAACCTCAGCCACAGCATTACTTCATCTGAGCAGTGAGGCTTCCAAACGCAGGGAGAGTGCACCGAGCTCTGCGAGAGCTGCCAGACCTGCCGGCTCTTGTGAGAAGGAGAGTACTTGTCAGAACTGCCAGGCCACAGCCTCTGTGAGAAAGAAGTGCCCGGGATGCGGGTAAAAGTGATCCATGTGGCATGCAGATGGGCTCTAACTGATTTTTATTGTTATAGAAAACATCAAATGTTATTTGCTCCTACTATCTTACATTGAAAGTACAGACTTAACTTCTTCAGGCAAAAGTGATAATTACAAAGAATATCACCGATATGGGGAAAAATGCTAATGGTGTAATGTTAAGTGAAAAAAGTAGAATGTAAATATGTGCTCACATTATGATAAAAAGAATTCTATAAAACATATACGTGCATGAATAGAGTCTGCTTAGGAGAAGAAGAGTGATGATGGGAAAAAATGGTCTCACCTTTTTCAACAGTAAATTAGGACAGAAAATAATTGCAGAAAAAGAAACTCAACAATTTGTTAAAGTGGCTGGCTGCCCAGCTGAGAAACTCACTAAGGGAAAACCTAGATAAAATCTGGACTTTTAAAAAGGAAAGTGTAGGCTATTTAGTAAACAGCAGCTGAAGGTGCTCTAGGTCTTTGGCATGGATGAAATAAGCTAGCCCCCTTTCAACTAAGTCACCAACACAAAACCTGCATTTGTACAAGTTCACACCAGTGGGGCCACCAAGGAGCCAGGACTCAAGAAAGATTGCACCCTGGGCATCAAATGAGCCTTTTGCTGTGAAGAAGCCTTCCCCCGAGCCTTGGTCAGTCTTCAGGGAACCCCTAGTTGGTTACAAACTCTTGCAGGAAGTCCAAAGGCCAGAATTTGGAACCAAGTGCAAGATAAGCTCCTACAACAGCATCAGTTGATAACAAAGAAAACCATTCTCCATCACTAGGCTTTTCTCCTACAAGCTTCCATTTCAAAGACAAGAAAACTGAGGTTCAGAAAGGAAAAGGAATATGATGAAAACCACACAACAAGGCCTGGCAAGAGAACCTGAATCTCCCTACTCCTTGTCCAAAGTGCACTCTGCCACCTGTTGCTTGGGGTGACCTCTATTATCCCTAGCTCCCAGAGGGGACTGCAAAGCCCACAGGTGACCTGAATTAGAGTGCAAGTTCAGGCCTGTTTCTGCTTTGCTTTGTTATGGTAGTTCTAGTAATGTCAGTAATCCACATACCTGGTTGTAGCTAATTGGGCCACCACTTGCCCTTGGCTATAAACTTTCAGGGAAAGACTTGGCCAGAGGTCACTGGTTCCCTGGATGACCTGGAGGGGAGTGAGGCATGCTAGGTACCCTATTAGGGCTGTTCCCGAGAGTGGAATCGATCAGCCCAGAACCATGAACATCTGAGTTGTTTGCAGAGCACACACATAGGCTCTATTTCTTCCAGTGAAATGAGCAGCATTTTATACCAATACTAAAGGTAGCCCTATAGATGGGAGTTTCTGCATCTGCAAAAGCATTAACTAGAGATTATGTGATGACTTTAACAAAAGTGCGTCTGGTTTCCATACCTACAAAGGCTGGGTATGGGAGAAATCACATTCCCAGAACTCCTTGGTTTCATGGGGAAATTGCCATTGACAGTGAAATTCTCTTAGGAAAGGCTGAAGCCAAACAACTTTCCAAACAATGCCCGCTGATGGGTTATGGAACAGGGCACAGGCTTACCTGGAACATCAATCAATCTTTTGTAGACGTTCAAGAAGGCTGCCTCAGCTTCTTTGCTTCTTTTACTCAGTGCATCAATCTGAAAGGGAATGGAAGAAAAAAAACAAAGAGCTCAAAATTTGTCAAGAGGTAATTTAAAAATCATTACACATCTAGTAAGTTCCCACAACAAATGGAAGTCTGACTTTTCCATGTAAATGCCGGACAGCTGGGCCTTCAACCTCTCCAAGGAAATGTCTGCAAATAGACAAAGGGGAGATGATCCACAAGGGCCCAGCTCCTACGGGTGTGTAAGCCAGGGGCAGTTCTTTGAGATGAAACCATTGGCTACGCTCTGTCCCATTACCCAACCGAGTGTGGGCATTCCGCAGAGAAAATGGCCCAGCACCTTCCTGGTCACCCCCTCTTCTGCCAGTATTTACTGCGAGCTGACTGGGTGCTGGGCACTGTGCGGAAAGTGGGGCAGAATGGGACAGCTCCCAGCTCCAGGACCATGTGGGCCAATAGGAGCAACAGGTATGCAAAGAAGTGATGAAATCGCAGCTGGGAAAGTGCTAGGTAAGCAGGGCCATGGGGACGCAGAGAAGGGACATCAAGCAGGAAAGTAAGTGATGTTTGAGTTGTCCTCAGGAGCTGCTCACCAGGGTGGAGAAGTGAGAAACTACATGAAAGGGGAAGAACACATGCAAACACCCAGGACACAGCTCTTAAAGCTGGGGATTCACAGGTCATCCGGATGAATTTTATGAAAGCCAAGAACTGTCCTCCTAGCAATACACCCCCACACACACACACACACACAGAGTTATGCATTCTGTGTTAGAACTCTCACATGTCCGCTAGTATCCTGTCCATAGAACTCAGATTAAGAACCCATGGATGGGGCTGTGACCTACCAGGGAATATGGGGGACCCAGGGTGTAGGAACTTGGAAACATGGGAACACTGGAGGGTGGTGAGAAGGGACAAGTGAGGGGGTGAGATCTTGAAGTGCCATTGGGGTGTGCAGGGGGTGAACTTCATTAGTCATGTCAGGGCATAAGGATGAAGGGGGCAAGAAGGAGGTAACTGCTCAGAAGCTGCCCCTGCCCTGGTGAGTACTATGTAGGGAAGCTGGGGTGGGACTGAGAAGAGGAGGTCAATCAGAGAGACCATGGTCCAGCTGAGCTGATGTGAGGAACGAGGTGAGGTACAGAGGAACAAGGTGAGTCAAGGATGAAGCCTGGGTTTCTAGCTAGGGCAACGGATGAGTTTCTGTGGCAGTGACCAGGACCGATTTGTCTCATGAACTAACCCAGCTCAGCTAGTTTCCCTCCAGTGTAAAGTCTATTCATCAAAGAAAGGCGGCTTCTGGAACCTCCGAGTACACCAGACACAGACCCACAGAGGTTCTGACTGTTAGACGAACTCAGGATGCATTGTGCTCACATAACACATTTGCTGAGACAACAGATCACTTTTTACACCTGAAGAATGCAAGATGCTACATGCACGAAGTTCATACTGGCTCAGGAAAAGGACACTAAATTATATATTCCTTCCGTCCCCTCTCAGAATTATACTCTGTCTCCAATGTTATTAAAGAGGCAAAAGGATGTGGTTTAATTACAGGGCCTCTCACCTGAGACAAGCAACAATTTGTTGAAGGCTGAGAGAGGTCACCTGATTAAGGATGGGAAGACCCTGAGGAGTGGGACACAAGGCTGGTGGGGGCTGGGCCTTAGGAAATCCAGTGCAGAGCAAACTAGCGCAATGCAAGCGTTTCCATGTCTAACAACTGTGCTCCACAGCTGTTATTTAAAGTCAGTTGTGTGGAGCTCAGACACATTTTACCCCTCCGTAAAATAAGGTTGTGATGTAAGTGTTGGAGAAGTTTCCAGAATAATCCATAAGGACTACTTAAATATGACAAGATAATTCTTTTTATTTTTAAAATAAAATGTTTCCCCCCTCTGATTGGCAATTCATGCTCATTGTATAATTAGAAAAATACTATAAATAAAAGGATTAAAATGATAATTCTGATAAGCACTGTTGAAAGTCACCAGTCACTAAGACCTGGAGTTCCTTTAATTTTTTTTTTCTGATTCAGGAAATACGCAGTTGAACCAAATGCAGGCACATAGGGAAAGTGTGGAACCTGAAGGCAGTGCAGTGGCTGTCTAGCTAGGGCCTGGGATGGGAGGACGGGGCCCGGAGGATGACACTGAGGGGTGGTGCTGGGCTTCTCTCCGGGTGATGGAACGTTCTACAGCTGACTGTGGTGATGGTCACACAACGTCGTGAATACAGTGAAGGTCAGTAAACTGCAGACTTCAAATAGGTGGATATGATTTGTGAATTCTCAATAAATCTTTCAAAAGTGTATGTGCGTTTGAATGAAACTATATGTAAAATTTCATATTGTGCTTTCTTTCACTAACATATCAGTCATTTTTAAAAATATCTATTACAAATTTTGGAAAATGTCTTAGTAGTACTATTTCAACTGCAGCTAACCACCATACGCGCGTGCGTGCACGCGCGCGTGCACACACACACACACGGTGAGCACAGTAGGTGACAGCTGTGGGTACGTGAAGTAGAGTTAATAAGCTATTGCAATAATACTAAGCTGCATGTCTTCTTCCACACAAACAATTGTGAATGTGCTTTGCCCACCCCTGTAGATGTTTTGAGTGACTGGATTTGGAGTTGCCTCTCCAGATGTCTGGAAAACGCTGTGAGCCAGGTCTTCCCCTCACGAGAGAGTGTGTGCCCAAGGGGAGCAGAGTGTCTGCCCAGAAGGCAGAGTTTGCCCTGGCTGCTCTCCACATCTCTTGACACAGAGGCCTTTGCTTCTCAGGTATTCTGAGTGTACACAGGGTGGCTGCCTCTGTGGCGGACAAAGGATGGGATCTGGAAGGATCCTGAATGGCATCTTCAATCCCCTGTCTGTGTGTTGATGGGACATGAATGGGGGGAGGGGGAGGTGCGGGCTGGCAATCTGCACAGCACATTTGGGAATAGTTATGGTTGAATTGTGCCCCAGCCTAATACCTATGAATATAACCTTACATTCAGGTCTTTGCAGGTGATCAAATAAAGACAAGGTCATTAGGATGGGCCCTAATCCAATATGGCCGTGTCCTTATAAAAAGGGGAAATTTAGACACAAAGTCATCCACACACAGAAAACTCAATGTGAACATCAAGGGGGAGATTGGGGTGATGTGTCCACAAACCAAGGACTCTCAAAGATCATCAGAAAACCAGAGGAGAGACTTGGAACAGACTCATGGCCCTCAAAATGAACCAATCAGACCAACACCTCCACCTGGGCCTTCCAGTCTCCAGAACTGGGATGGAGTTCTGTTAGGTTGCTCACTCTGTTACAGCAATAGCAAGTTAATACAGGGACCGTGATTCTGAGCCCTCTTCCTATTCCCTTTTCCTGGACTTACGGGACTTCTTGAGAGGCGATGAACACTCCATGAGGTTGAGGTTCTAGTTGAAGAGGTCTCTCCACCCTCTTATAAGGTTTTCAAACCCAGAATAATTTGTGGATTCTGGGAATTTTGATCGTTTCTATATTTTTTCACTCTTTTGACCCCTCCTGATGTCGAGGGCTTGGCCTTGGAGTCGAACCTTTGGTCTGCCCTCTTCTCTGTGGGGGACTCTACTTTGCTGCCACCTGGGATGTGCTATTTTTGTGTGTTCACTTACTTAATGTCCTTCACTTGCATCTCTGCCTGCTGAAGACCAATCTGTACCCTGAGGACCAGTGTGAGCCCACCTTCCGCCAGAGTAAGTGCACTGGGTTCCCTCCAGCTGGCAGGGTTCTGAGTTTGGAGGGAGGAAGGTGGACCCTGGAGCCAGGCTGGTCGCCCACACCCACCTCCCAGGGCTGGGTGGTTAGATGAGCTCTTATGCTTAGACACGGGAGGGTTCCATGACAGTGACTTTGTCATGTCCAAGAGCTTTCCTCTGTGTCCAAGGCTAAGCCTGGGAAGGGAGCCCTGTCTGTCCTCTTATCACTCTGTGAGTTAGGTGGAAATAGAATATCATCCTCATCTCCATGTCCTCCACCCTCTATGCCTGCCGGCTGCAGGTGCTTGGGCCCATGTGCTGGCATCTTTGAGGTGGCGAGTCAGGGCTCATTTTAGCAGCCCCCTCACATGAGGGGAAGAGGTCTGTGAATAAGAGGAGCTTTGGGGTGAGGTCTTAAGGCACGGATGGTTAAAAGTAGGAAGTGAAGTTAGACATTCTGGCTACTTAATGTTCAAAGACAGCCTGTGTAGAGATTCTGCCTACAATTCCCACTCTCTTAAAAGTCATTTTGAGGAAGGGCAAGGACTGGTCGCAGGACTGGGACAAATCTGGAGAAGCTCTGACTGTGCCCTAGCCTTGGGTAAAACCTGTTCTGCTCGAGGGATCAGCCTCCTCTCCTGCCACACCTCACACTTCAGCCACACCCGGTTACTCCCAGTTCCCTGAATAAATGAGCAATTTCCCCGCAGCCTGGAAGGCGCCTCCTCGGAATGTTCCTCTGATCCTTGAGACTCAGCTGACTGTCTCCCGGCTGCAGCCACTCCCATCACCATAAGGGATTGTTCCAGAATTGCAGATAGCGCTCCCTTGGAAGGTCCTCAATTCCTTGAAAGCCCAAATTATGCTTTCATCTCATAAGCCTTATTTCCCATGAGTCAGAATATAGTAGGTGTTCGATACATTTTTATTGTAAATAAAAATTTATCTAAATTGGTCAACAAGTGAGCAACTAGTTCAGGTATCCATTTAAAAATTTTTATGAAAATGCTTATATATTGAGAACCCCAAAGATTCCACCAAGAAACTACTAGAACTGATAAATAAATTCAGAAATGTAGCAGGATATAATATTAATATCCAGAAGTTAGCTGCATTTTTATATGCCAATAATGAACAGAAAGGGAAATTAAGAAAACAATCCCATTCATAATAGATTCCAAAAGAATAAAATACCTAGGAATAAACCTAACCAAGGATGTAAAAGACCTGTACATGAAAAATTGTAAGATGCTGAAGAAAGAAATTAAAGAAGGTACAAATAAATGGAAG